GCGATTCAGTGACCAAAATTTCGGTCTTTGAAACATACCCTGGATAATAAGGAGTTGGGACTAAGAAACCATCGCCGGGATTTGCTAAACAGAAAGCAACCGTCTCGTGTGCGCCGGTTGCGCCGCCGCTCATGACGATCTGGTCAGGATCAAAATTAACTTTGTTATCTCTTGTCTTCTCCATAAATCTCGCTACAGCCTGAAGAAGAATTAGAGAAAGTACAATCAGAAAAATTGAAATCAAATCAACCAAAAGTGATGAATTCGCTGAATTGTTGTTGATATACTTACTTGTCTGAATTCGGGCAAGCCATGATAATCCTGGAAAATTGCAATGTTGCTGAATTGATTCACACCTTCTGATGTACAAATCGAAGCTTCTGGATGTTGTAATACCCATTTACGCATCAAATCTCCACAAAGCTACACAATTCAAGAAACAAAAAAAGTTTAGATTTTTATGTTTATAGATAGATTGATTAGAAAAAAGAAGAAAAGTTTGGATTTTTATTGAAAAATTTACCTGATTTTCAGCGAGACCCATTTGGATTACTCCGTCGGGTCTATCAATTGGGTGAAATGGGTTTTCTTCATAAGCTTTCCAACCATCGAAATAAGAAGAATTCTCGCCGTGACCGTCACCGGATGCGATCTTAGACAATAGATTCCGATCTTGCTTCTCTGCTGCAAAAGCCACCATTTTGTTTTTGCTTCTTCTTGTTCTTCTTAGATTCTCTTTGTTTGTTAATAGTGTTTTTGGTTTCTTGTGGTTTTTTGGTCTGTTGAAGATTTAGAAGTTATGGTTTGATGTGAGGGAAGTGAGTTTTGTGACTATCTATATATAGAGATCTGTGGAGATTTGAAGTTAACAGATATTGAACACGGACTAAGCAGCAGCTTTCACTGAAGGTTCTAAGAAATAACCATAAAAGGTGAAATTACATAAAGGCCCTCAATGTTTTATTGTAATTATGTTTGACTTCTTTGAATTTTTTTCCTTTGGGTGGATTGAAAACCAAATTTGTGAAAAGTAGTGGAGAAGACAATTTGGGAGACGAAAACGAGATTGTGTCAAAAGTAGGGACCTTGTGAACGAAAAAATCAGTTCCAAATTATTTTAATTTCAATTGT